TATTAAATGTAAATATTTATTTTTTGGTCCAGTTGTTGGCCAACAGCACTCTGGAATGAGGAATGTCATTTTCCAGCTGTTTGTTTCTGTAGAAACAGAAAGCCTGACTCTTGGGACAGAGGTCCAAATGAACTGCCCTGTGTAAAAGCTGGCTTGGATATTTATACAGAAAGTTTATTATTTATAACCTGTCAATCTATGTAACTTTTTTCACAAGGCTTGCGTTCACATTTAGTTGGTTGTATTTAGTGGTGAAATTCAGATTGTTTTACTACTGGTTCTGTGGGTGTGGCTTGGTGGGTGTGGCAGGGGAAGGATACTGCAAAATCTCCATTCCCAGCTCACTCTGGGACCAGCCAGAGGTGGTATTTGTCGGTTCTCTGAACTACTCAAAATTTCCGCTACTGGTTCTCCAGAACCTTTCAGAACCTGCTGGATTTCACCCCGGTTGCATTTGTCATTTCTGCTCCAAGATTTGTCATATTTAATGCAAATTACTCACAATGGGTCCTTGTGAAACCTTCCTAATCCTCTGCTACCTACCTGGATTGTTGTCAGTTTCTCAGCAAAGTGAAGTGTAGACAGTCCAGTTCATAATTGAATCAGTTCTAACATTTGGTGGGTCATTTCTACAGAGCTTGATTAATTTTTGCCTAATACTATTTAAAAGCATTGGCTGAAACCTTTTCTTGTGAAGTTAATTGAGGAGAAAAGCCGCAGACAGCAAGCGTTTGTTTTCCAGATCATAGCTTATGCAGACATTTCCTGGGTTATTTAGAGGGTGCTTTTGTGTTGCTGTCTCCAAGATTTCAAGGGGAATCTGCCTATTTGAAGGATTTATTTACTCTATATTCATTGTTTTATATTCTTAAGATATCAGGCTATAAAACAATATTATCACTGGTTTTTAAGTTCCACAGCTTTGGAGGACTTAATTTGCCTTATCAGTCAATACCCTTTCTTCAAGGAAAGTGGAGCTGATGAAATTTATATTAGTTATTACATGGTTTATCAAATAACAAGCCTGAAACACAGTTAAACAATGTGAAATCAATTGGTTGTGAATTGCAGGAAATATAATAGCAACCAAACAAGGCTCTACGGGACATTAAATGGTTGGTTGCTATCATTTTGCTCTTGGAGATTGGAATATTAGCTGTTTGGATTTATTCTTGCCAGATGAGGGATTATCAATGGGGTTATTAATGTGACGGGCTCAATTGTGTCTTAAGAATGCAATTGTTCTTCTTGTTGCCTCCTTGGTGTTTGGAGTAAAGAGATGACATTTGGAGACAATATTGTTCTGCCTACATAATGTTGTTATTTAGTTGAGCATAACAGGTAGTGCTCAACTTAGAACCATTTACTTAATTGGTTCAAAGTTATGACAGTGCTGAAAAATGTGACTTACCACTGGTACATGCACTTATGACCGTTGTGGTGACCCCATGGTCACATAACCAAAATTTGGCTCCTTGACAACTGCATATATTTACAAGAGTTGCAGTATCCCGGAGTGCCACTTCTGACCTTCCCAGGAGCTTTTCAACAAGAAAAATCAATGGTGAAAACCAGGTTCACTTAAGATATGTGTGATTCACTTAACGACCATGGCAAAAAGATCATAAAATCAGTCACAACTCACTTAATGACCATATCAATTAGTGATAGAAGTTCTGATCCCAATTCTGGTCATATCAATAGCAACAGCATTTAGGCTTACATACCACTCCACAGTGCTTTACAGCCCTCTCTGAGTGGTTTACAGAGTCAGTATTTTGCCCCAACAATCTGGGTCTTCATTTTACTGATCTCGGAAGGGCGGAAGGCTGAGTCAATCTTGAGCCAGTCAGAATCAAACTCCTGGCATTGGAATGCAGAATTAGCCTGCAATACTGCATTCTAACCACTGCGTCATCCCGGCTCATAAGTCCTAGTAAGGTGAGGACTACTTGTAAACATTTTTTTAAGTCTATTGATGATGAGGTCATCCACAACTCTCCTTGTCTTTCAGGGTTCAATTTCACCAAAGTGGATCTGGAAGAACCAAACAGAAGAACAAGGGTCTATCACTACATTGCAGAGACCTTGAAGTTTGCCAATGGCCAAAGAGCAAAATTAGATGACCCTACATTTTCTAAAATAAATGAGGTGGGTCTTTCCTGGGACTGCCTTCAGATTTTTGGAATTACCTTAGGGTCAGCAGCTCAGTGCTTAGAGTCATCCTGATGCCCACTTGCATGTCTAGTAAATGTGTCTTAAAACATGGTACTTTGCTCCTAGGACCTTTAATCTTAGATGGCAAGGACAGTGTTCTTATTGGGCTTTTTTAAAACTTCCAAATGAGTGGAAGTTAATTCCATTTTATTCTTTACATATTCACCATTTATAGCCTGTATTTCCAAAGCATTCTTTGCAAGGTAGGTCTTAATTGTCCCCTAAACATTATAAAAATGAGCTGGATATTTTCCTGCAGTTTAGCTCCTTCAATTATTTTGAAAGGAGAAAATGGCCCCGAGAACTCTCCGATGCTGTTCACAGCACAGAAAAAGATGTGCCAATTGTTAGATTACATCATGAAAATCAGCACTTAAAGACTGATTTTCAGTCCTCACCACTGTTTGCATGTGATATGAAAAGAGAGTCCTGAATTTCTAATTAATATGCAAAAAACTGATTTTTGCAACAGCTCTGAAGAAGTCAAATAAAGATAAAAAGTTCAAATTTACAAGCAGAATAAGGAAAATATTAAAGTTTTTCTGACTTCATATTGGATGAAGATGCTAGAAGGATAAGAGGCCAGCTATTTAATTTACAGCAGCCTTGACCTGAGACATTGGCACACCTGGTGTACTAATGCAGAAAAGGGAGTCTTCCTTTTCTTGTGTGCCCTGTTCCGCTTTTCCTGGCCACAGTGCACCATAAAAGGACACATCTTTCTATAATGGGCTGTATGGCTCAGTTGCTGGGAAAGGAAGCTCTGAGCCCAGCGCCTTCGGCTTCCCTTGCTCCACTGTCCATCCACATTTGTCCAGAAATTCCATGTTCTATTCACGGCTCTTCAGGCTTGTGGGCATTTTGGAAGGTGGTCTCAGGGCCACCCATGGCAGGTCTCCTTCCTGACTGGAATACCCACCTTTTCAGGAGGTTCTCCATGAGATGATATCAGATGCCTTTGCTGACCACATCAGGCAGTTGATCGACGACCGGGGAGACCACCCAACCAGCCACTATGACCCAGCCCAGCTGAAAGTGGCTCCTTTTGGCACCTCCCACGTGGCCGTTTTGGCAGAAGACGGGAGTGCTGTTTCTGCCACCAGCACCATCAACCACCCGTAAGTGGGGGAAGATGTGGACCTGTGAGGCTGAGGGCAGCCTTGACCGTTTGGCCCTCCACAAGGTCTCACCCTTGATTTTGTTGCTTCCCCTTCCAGTTAAGGTCTCTGCAGAAGCCCCTGTGGTCACTCCATTGAAAGCCACTCCCATTTTCAGGGTCCACCCACAATTCCATGTCTGAAGCTGACCCATTCTCACATCGGTTGCAGGCACAATCCTGCTCCTCCTTTGTTAACCAAAGGTCCCGCAGGCAAAAAGCTGGTAAAATGTTAGGGAGGTTGCTTGCCCCCTTCACTGGGAGTCAGGGCATGTCCCTCCAGAGTCCCCTCCCAAGAGCCTCTGAGCTGGCAGAAGAGCTTTGTCTCCTGAAGGAGAGGCCTTCCTTCCTAGGAGATGTGCTAAAAATGCCCGAGTGAGGTGGGGACGTTTGCTGAGGCTGGCAGGAAAAGGGTTCTCTGAGGACTTGTGATATGAAGTTTCCAAGACAGAGGAGACAGCACTAGCCATGGCCCTTTAGACATATGCTGCTCCACAGGGCTTTACAGCCCCCTCTAAGCGATTTGCAGGCTCAGCCCCTTGCCCACAACAATCTGGCTCCTCATTTTACCCACTTTGGAAGGATGGAAGGCTGAGTCAACCTTGAACCTGGTGAGAATCGAACTGCTGGCAGTCAGCAAAATTAGCCTGCAACACTGCATTCTAGCCACTGTGCCACCACAGCTCTTAAATAGTTTAATAGAAATAGTTTGGGGCAAGAAATAGTTTGAAAGGGTCATCTCTGCTTCTTGCTTGTCTGTTCAGCAGAGAGAGGCCAGGACAGAGGTGGGTTCCTACCAGTTCACACCTATTCGGTAGAACCGGTTCGTCAAATCTACCGAACCGGTTAGAAGAGGTTCCACCAGTGGACCCGGAAAGCAGGCCACACCTACAGAAGAGGTTCCAAAAATTTTTGAAACCCACCACTGAAGAGCAGGTACAGCTCTGATTCGCTGGCAAGCCAGCCCTTCCCGCCTCCCTCTCCAGTGGTGAGATGGCTGTCTTCCTTCAGGAGCAGGTAGCTAAGCGGGAGAAGGACAGGCAGCCAAGTGGGGGGACAATGACGACAGAGAAGGCAGCTGCTGTTACGGCACACACTCCCAGCCCCACTTTGTCAACAGGCAAACAAGCTCGGAACAGAAATGTGGCAGGAAATGTGGCAGAAGGCTGTCTTCAATTCAGGGAAGGGACTGCAGCCTCAGGGCTCCATCTGAAAGAGCCGTCACTCAGCCAGTGCCCCAGAAAGCACTGTGGAGCTTCTGCCTTGGACAGGGTTCTGCTCTGCTCTCCCTGTTGAACAGGAGGCACATCATCAGGGGTCTCTACCTCGGCAGCTCCTAGATAACAACTCTGCCACTACTCAGCAGACCAAAGGAGGCAAAGAGGCCAGTTAGAAAGGCACATTACCTGTGCACACCAACAAGGCTGTCAGCAGCTTGCATAGGTCATTAGGCTGTGGCCACTGCGAGTGGAGAAAGCCAGATCCCCATCAGAGCCTGGATTCCCAGGCCCAACAGAGATGGGGCGACAGGGGGTGGGGGGGAGAACGCAATCCAGGCTGGGCTTGGATGGCCAGAGCACTGATGGGGATCGAGCTTTCCCTGCTCGTGGTGGCCACATTTTATCTGCTGGGAATGGGCACGCTTTTACCACCTCTACTCAGCCTTTCTAACTGGCCACTTTGCTTCAGTGATGGCACTGGCCTAATGGACCTGTGTGAGCTCCACAGTGCTTTTGGGGCACTGCCTGAGTGACACAACTCCTCCCACGGTCCCTTACCTGAACTGAAGGCAGCCTTCTACCTTACAGCCCCCACCCCCAATTGCATATCCATTCCGAGCTTGTGTGCCTGTTGGCAAAGCTAGCGAGACGCTAGCGAGCTAGGGAGTGGGCGCTGCAACAGCCACCACTTCCGCCCCTCCCCTCACTTTGCTGCCCATCCTTCTCCTGCTCGGCTGCCCACTCCTGAAGGACAACAGCTGTCTCCCCCACTGGAGAGGGAGGGTTGCAACCAAATTCTGGGAAGTGCGGCTCATGAGTAGCCAGTTTTCCTTCCACGCAAGTGGGCAAGTCAGCAGGGCACTACCCAAACCACCGGGCCTTTGAGCCCTCTTACTCCAGCCTTGGGATGGATGCCACTTCCTAACCCCCCCCCCGGTGATGCTTCAGGGAAGCCCAGTTGGGCGCCACATGTTGGGTCTGGTAGTGGACAGGGAAATGTGGCACTTTCCCCCATTTCCTGTAAGGCCTGCTGGCAAAGCACCCCTCTCATGCACTCACCGTTACAGTCGGGTGCGCGCGAGGGGAACACACTATACGCACAGGCCAAGGGCAAGACCTGTGAGAGGGCCAAGGAGGTGACCTGATTTCCAACCGCACACCAAAAGAGATGAGAGGGGGTAGGCAGCAACTGCCCCACACCATACTCACCTTGTCTTCGGAGCAATAGTAGAAGGCAGAGGCACAGGGGAGAGGAATGCAGTCCCGCAGGCTGGATGTATCGGGCAACCACGTGCCTGACACATGGGATGGAGCAGGCACGTGATCCGCATCACTTGCCTCACCCGCCCCTCTGCCTGCTGCCGATGCAAGTGCTGCCACCGCCATGCCAGTTTCTTGGAGGGTAAGATGTGGGGTCCCTGCCCATCCCCCAAGCCCTCTGGCAGTCATGGCACCTCTCCCCAAGACCCCCATTAGTCAGGAAAAACCAGCCATGCGAGATGTGGGTGGGAGTCGCCAGGTAGCAGGTGGAGCAGGGGGCGGGGCTGAATCCCTCCACCGTGCATGCTAGATACATTGTGTTGGCAGGCCGGATCTGGCCCGCAGGCCATAGTTTGAAGATCCTTGATTTACAAACATAAATATATATAGTGAGTTGAGTTTCAGATAAGCATAAATATAGTTTTATTTAGTGTAGTCCATAGGTTCCCCGATTTTTGGTTTTCAGAGAACTTAGTGCCTCAGTGGTTTTCATGGCACCTCTAGGCCAGAACCCTGACTAGATATCTAGCAGAGGTGGGTTGCTGCCGGTCCTCACCGGTTCTCGCGGACCGGTTGGTGATTGGACTGGAAGTATGCCTGCCCCACTCCCAGCCCTGTATACCCGTCCCGGACGGATGGTATTTTGTCCCTTCTGTTTCCCCGTTGCTCAGAAAAGCAACTTTTGTAAGGTCTTTTGCTAGCAGGCAGGTTCTAGGACGCCTGCTGCCATCAAAGGACCTTCCCAGAGTTGCTTTTCTGAGCAATGGGGAGACAGAAGGGACAAAATACCAGGAAGACAAGGAACGCAAGGTGGATCCCTCCCTCCATGGATGGGCTCCGGACCAGCGGAGCCTCCTCCTCCTTTTTAACCAGGCAGGTGGCTATCAGAGAGAAGAGGGCAGTTTCTTGGAGGGTTTCTTGCCCATGGGCTTGTGCAGCGGTTTCTTGCCCATGGGCTTGTGCAGCAGCCGAAGAACAGGAGGCGAGGATTCGGCTGCTGCACAAACCCACATAGCGTGTGCTGAACTCTTCTCTCTTGACAGCAGCCTGGGTAAAAAGAAGGACGAGTCCCAAGGGAGTGGGCGGCATACAAATTTTATTAAATTGAAATTGAATTGAAATTGAAAATTGCTGGTCCGAAGCCCAGCAGTAGCAGTAGTTTCCCTCTTCCTCTGCCAGCTCACCGCCCCCTCCTTTGCTTAGGCTCCCCGCTGGGTTTATGCCCCTCCTGACGTGCTTTGCAACTGCTGGAACCCACACGGACCTCTTCATGGTGCTGTCTGGGCAACCTGGTTCTGGGGATTCCCCCCCCCCAAAAAAAGAACTGTCTGCCCGTCTCTCCAGATTTTGTGGCTTTCAGGATTTTCTTTTTAAAAAACGCCTCTCCGGGCGATCTTGATAACCTGCGAGGTTGCTTTGGAAGGGGACAGATGGGCAGCATTTCCCCCTGACCCCCTCCCTGGGTGCCTGCAGCTTCGGAGCCTGCAGCCTTAAAGCAAGCCTTTGCACAGTAAAAAAAATCTTCTCACGAGCGAGAGGTTCTTAATTGCCTTTACTGTGCAGGTTGCTGCAGGCTCCAAGGCTGCAGACACCCAGGGATGGGGTGGAGGGGAATGCTGCCCGTCTTCCCCCTCCCAAAGCAACCTCACAGATTTTCAAGATCATCTGCAGAGGCGTTTTTAAAAAGAAAATGGTCTTCTTGGGAGGGGGAATGGGCTGCGCTCAGAGGAGCCAGTGCCTGGGGCGTCCTGAAGCAGTGCCCGCCAACATGTCCATTAGAAAAGCCCTAAGGGCAAGTGCGGCAGCGTCGCACCCACCTCCGTCCTGCCGGCTGCCCAGCAACGCATCCCCGCCGCCTCCTCCTACTCAGCGGGAGGGCTGGGTAGGGGCGCGGGCATGGCCCAGGAGTGGGCGGTTAACGGGGGGCGCTGCCCAGCCAGTCCTCGACCTGATTACCAAACTAGGTAATGAAATGCCTGTAAGAAAACCACCAAGCTCAGAAAGCAGCAAGGATCCCACTATCCCCCACCTCCTCTTTCTCCCTCNCTGTGTTTATTATTCAATGTTATATGCCCCGGTTATGCACAGTATACATGTGATTGTATGGAATGAAATGGAAATAAACGTATTTTCACACAAAAACGTCTGAGTGAATCCAGGAAGAGGGAAGAAGCAGAGGGGCTGGAAGTGTGTGTGTGCTGTGCACAGTCTTCGAGTCTAAAAAATGTCTGAGTGAAACCAAGAAACGGGAAAAGGCAGAGGGGAATGAAGTTTGTGTGCTATGCACAGGATGTGAAACTTAAAAACCTCTATGTGAATCCTGGAAGAGGGGAAACGTAGAGGGGCTGGAAGTGTGTGTATATGGACAGGCTGTGAGTCTTAAAAACGTCTGAGTGAATCCAGGGAGAGGGAAGAGGAAGAGGGACTTCAAGTTTGTGCTGTAAACAGTCTTCGAGTATAAAAAATGTCTGAGTGAATCAAG